CAGGTAGGAAAAGTGGGGGTCACAGAAGATGGGTAGCCCAAAGGCACCCAGCCAGCTTGGAGCAGGGCTGGGATTTGCAACCAGGTCCTCTGGCTGAAAAGCCAGTGTTTCTCATGCTAGCCCATGTGATCCTGCTGTTTTGAAACTGTGTCTCTCGCCTGTTATTTCTTCTTCGGCCTCTCCATTAATTTCTGACTCTTAAGGGATTCTGTCCCTAGCACATCTCCCCAGCCCCTCTAGGAGTGGGATAAGAGTTACTTTGTTATGGCAAGTGACAGACAGCTCAGCTTGGTGTGAAGAAACAGCAGCAGTCCGTGGCAGCTGCCACAACACGGCACCAGGCTTCCCCTGCTGGGACCTCTGGGGGGATGAAGTCCACCCCCTACACAGACAGGCTGTGGCGGCAGCCATTAGGGGAAAGAGAGTTGCTGGTATTAAATCCAGAGAGGAGCCTGGCTGCCACCTCTTCTGTTTGGACAGATGGGGGGGTTGGAACTTGGTCACTTGTAAATTTGCCATCAAGGTTTCTACTATGAACAAGTGGTTCCCAAAATATGGGCAGGCAGTGGCTCTGGGTGTCGCAGTGATGGCATCTGAGTAGTTCATGGACAGAAAGTAAATCAATGGCACTGAGACATGTAGCAGGATACTTACTTACTTTTTCAATTGTACTTCAGTATTTTCAACTTAGAGTCAATTTTTTAATAGCAGACCCTTGCTCGTGTCTCTGTGATAAAGAAAGGAGCAGCGAGCAGGCAGGAAGCTTTAGGCTCAGAGCCACTGCACCCAGGGAGAATTTAGTGATATTATTGACTTTTTCTTCTCTTGATTTTGATGTTTACCTTCTATTTGTGGCAAGTAATACCGATTACCCCTTTCTGATAGTGGTATGAAGTAATCTTTTAAAATAAATTTATGTAAATACAGTCTAGGGCAGGAGTTCTCAACCTGGGCTCTACTGGCATTTGGGGCTGACCTGGCCCCCAGCCTCAGTCTGGATGCCAGTAACCATCACCGCTTCTGCTGTGCAACAACCAAAAGGGTCTCCAGACGCTGCTGCCGAGGCTCCCCAGGGTTGGGGCGGGGGTGGGTGGGCGGGGGTGGGAGGTTGATCCTAGTTGAGCCCCACTGATTTAAGGTAAGCACGTCGAGCTCAGATCATGAAGTTAGGAAGTAGAGGTAGTCGGGGATCATAGAAACTCTGTGTGTATATGAAAATGGCTCAAGTCTGGGGATGGCTGAGGCACGTTTCCTTCAATTGTGAGGTCCACTCACTGGTGTTCATGTGTGTGTCTTTCGGCACTGATGTTGGATGAAGAGCGAAGTGAAGGGCATAGCTTGAAAGGGATGTTCTCCAACCATGCCGTCTGCTAGGACTTCCTGCCCTGCTGGAATGTTCTGAATCTGCACAGTTCTGTCCATAGCTGCTGGGCATGTGTGGCTGTGGAGCACTCAGAAGGTGGCTAGTGGAAATGGGGAACTAAATCAGTATAAACATAAATAGCTACATGTGGTAGGAGCTACGCTGTTGGACAGCACAGCTCTGAAGAAGTCAGAGCAGAGAGGTCAGGGTGACAGGACGCAGGCTTTAAGGTGTGGATTGCATCCTTTAAAGGCTTAGAATTGAAGACACATCAAACTGACAGGAATGTCTTTACGGACAGTCCAGCCATGTGGTAGACAGGAATATCAGATGGGAGATTTGGGGCAGCAGCTAACAGATACCAAGCCAAAACTGGCTTGAGGAAAACCAAAACAAAACCAATTTGGGCAAGTCACTGAGATCTCTGTGCTCAGTTTGTCCACTGTGGAAATGAGGATGATGCTAGTATATCCCATGTAGGATTGTTGTGAACATTAAACGAAATGATGCATTTCTCTGTAGAGTGCATCTCTATATCCGTAACATTATGGGAATCTGTACCTTTCCCATCACCCTTTCCTGGCACACCCTGGTCTGGATTTTTGCTGCCTTTGCTTATCTGGATGGCAACAAGCTTCCTGAAAGATCCCGTGTTTCTACTTTTTTTTGTTAATATTCAACTTCATTAAGCTATAGTTCACATACCCGACAATTCACCTAAAGTGTACAATTCAGCAGTTTTTAGCATATCACAGAGTTGTGCATCATCACACAATCAGTGTTGGAACATTTCTTTACCCCAGAATGAAAGCTTACACCTGTTAGCCGCCTCTGCTCTTGCCCGCTGCTGTGTCTTCCCTGCCCGGCAGCCAGAGACTCCTTTTAGCAGTGTATGTCAGAGCCTGCCACCCTCTGCTTATAGCCCTCCAGTAGCCCTCCAGTGAGCCCCTCTGTGCTTGGAGTCCAATCCATGCTCCTTGCCGGGTGCCACGGGCCTGCATCGTCTGCCCCACGCCTCCTGCCGTGATCGTGCATTCCGGCTGCACCGATCTTTCTGTGCAAACACGGGCCAGGCTGCTGCCCACCTCCAGATCCCTGCCGTTGCAGTTCGTCTGCCTGGATTGCATTTCTTTGCATGGTTGCATGGCTGTTCCTTTTTGTCCCTCTCCTCGATGTCACCCCAGCCCCTCTGGCCACCCAGCCTCCGGGAGCCACACCCCTGCTGCCCCCCTTTTGCCTCTGCCTTATTTTATTTTGGGTGGTTGTTTACCATCTGTATCCCTCCCCTAGAGTGTAAACAATAGGGGCAGAGGACTCTGCCTTGTTCATTGCTGAATGTGAGGCCCAGCACCTGTGAGTGGCAGGACGTGCTAGGTGAGTGAATGCATCACCAAAAAACCAGCAATTACTTGTCTTATTATTATTTGTAAGTGTTCAGTAAATACAGTTGGCCCGCAAGTCAAGTTAGTGGTGTATTGAAAGTGTGGAAGTTATATCCACTGCAGGTAGAAAGTGAATACATGAGGTGACAATAAAATTGGTGTAATGAGATCAACTTGGGGCTAATTGCACTGGGCTCAGGTGACACCAAGTCCTTATTTTATCCTGTGCCAAACACCCCGATTTTGCGGTGAGATCATACGGAAGGAGAAGGCCAGGATCCCGTTCCAATGTCTGGTCTCCTCAGGACCTGGAATAGTGCTTCCTCTGTCCTAAAGGGAAGCAGCGGCCTCAGCTTGTCGGGGAGGTGTTCTGCATTGGCAAGGCTGTCCGCACGCGTGTTCTCCTGCTTTCATGCAAAGAACAGCATCCTGGACACCACCTTCAGCCACTTGCTCTTCTGCTTAGCACATCTTGCAAACACTCTTCAGGGTACACAGCTCTACTGCATTCCTTAAAGGCTGTGAATCCTATTTTGTGGGTGCCCCTTGTTTATTGACCAGCCCCCCTTGGATGGCGGTTAGGTTTGTTTCCAGCCCCCTGCTGCCTCAGCACCTGCTGCGCTGGCTGTCCCACCACTTTGCGCACACGTACACGTCACAGGTTAGGTAACGAATAACTTAATCTGATAGCTTGCTGAGTGGAACCTTTTAAAACAGACAAAACTCATAGAAGCTCTCAATATGACAGTATGTGGTTTCGCTTAATTTCATTCTTCAGCTTTCACTAGAAACATACAACTGTGGGATCCATCATTGCGGGTTTATTGTAGGATGGGGAGAGAATCTCTGGCTCCCAGGGGAGTCAGTCATGACCATCAGGACGGCTTCTGCAAATAGAGGGTGTGCTTCCTGTCAAGGGAACCCTCCCTGCACCGTCCCAGCTTCCTGTATTCATTCAACACTTGGTGTCCACCGATGGCCAGCATGGGTGATTTGCACTCAGGAACAGGAATGGGGGTGGCATTCTGGAGGCTTTTGTGTGTGTCACTGGCCCTGGGACAACTTAGAATGGGGCCAGCAAGGGTGAGTTACTAGAAGTGAAACCTGTCCTTATCAGAGCCACGCTCCGCCCTCAGCACCAGTTTACTGGAATGAGGATGCTATTTTTAAGAAAGAGCATTGTGTTTCATCATGGAAATTTTGAGCTTGAGCGTCTGAGTAGGCAGCTTGCTGCCTTGCTGATCTTTTGAGTCCTGATGCCCAGGGACTGTGTTAGCTTAGCTCTGTGCCCCAGGGCTCCACCAGAGCGTGCCTCGTCTGGAGGAGGAGGAGGACAAGGGAGGTCTGCCGTGGACAAGTAATCATGTAAGTCCTAACCGGCTGGTCGGTTTCACATCAGCTGGCAACGTCCCAAGGGGCTAGCAGGGCTGGGATTTCTCCCTCCTGGCCTGTGTGCCGGGGCAGGGAGGTGAGCAATTCAGCGTGGGGTGTTTCCATCGCAGTGCTTACAAGGGCTTGTAATTCTCAAAATGCCTTGTTTATGGGCTTTCCTGAAGGACAAGCTTCCTGTTTGGGGTGTTCTCAGTGGCTTTTTTTTTTTTTTTTTTNCCTAACGAGCTGCCCTCTTGGGGCAGCCAGCACAGCACTTGGGGGCAGTAGGCCTGCAGCTGTATGCATACTGGCCCATCTCCAGGTTATGCTGGGCTCTGAGTCCCTGGCTTCCTGGCCTGCTCCTCCAGTGTGTTGCTAAAAATGAGATGTGGGTGTGGAGAAAAGAATCTTTACCTTCTCCTTGATATAGTAATCTTGGGGTAACCAGCAACCTTGACAGCATAGGCTGGCAGAAAGATTAGGGTTTAGGATAAATGGACGTGGTTCAAGGCCAGACTCGGCTGTTGCTCACATCTTGGCAAACGTGGGTGCTTTATTTAACTCTTCTGAACTTTCCTCTCTTGTTTGTCAGATGTAAAAGTAATAACAGTACTTATATATATTTACCTTTCCAACCTAAATCTTACTATTTTAAAAGCAAATCCTCTTGTTTTGAAATAAATAGTTTGGGCTTTGTGAACAAAGCATCTTTCACTTGGCCCGCAGCTCAGAAGCCTCAGCTTTGTTTCCACGTCTCTTTGAGGGAAATGCCCCATTTGTGGCTGTGGTCCTGACCCAGTGAAGATGCTTTAGAGAAAAACGACCTGAGAAGAGTGGACAGGTGTGGGCGTGGCCTTGATGGTGTGGGTGTGTCTTTCCCGCAGGTGCTGCGAGTGGCTGAGATGCTGTGGCAGAGGGGAGCCCAGGCCCCGCACGGTCTGGCTGGGGCACCCCGAGAAGAGGGACCAGAGGTACCCTCGAAATGTCATCAACAATCAGAAGTATAACTTGTTTACCTTTCTTCCTGGGGTATGTATGGGCAGGGACCACACCCCTGTTTTTCTTCCCACAGCAAACGGGTGCAGTGGTACCAGCCTTAGAAGACTTGGGACCCCACAGCCGAGCATGCGTGGCTTTCCCACACCTCCTGGGCCCCTGGCCGTCCATCTTCCCTGGTCCTGACCACCTGAGGGGGGCTGCCTTCTGTCTACAGGGCTGAGGGGACTCCACCTGATCCATTAGAATAATTTCACATTTATTTGGTGTATTGGGCCTAAGAGTGAAAAAGATATTTTGAGGACCTAGCATTATAATCAAAACACCAAAAAAATAAAAAAAATCAGTAGTGCTTACATTTTTGCCCCTATCATCAGGAAACACATGTTCAGTATAGGAAAGTTGGGGGATAAAAGTGTAGAGACATTTTTAAAAAGAAAAATTTCAACCCTGCCATCCAGAGAAAGGATGCCTATTAACGTTTTTGCTAATGAGTGTTTCTGTTCTGCTTAGTCTTTGTGGCCCATTAACGTATACAAACCCGTGGGCATGGAGTCCACAAAGCTTTCCCTCAACACTTGCACAAATACCTGTTTGCATCCCGCGTGGCCTCCAATGCACACTGATTGACTTGAGACGCTAACAACAGCAATCAGTTCCGATGCCAGGAGGAAAAGAAATGCCTGTGTTGGATTTAGTGGGAGAATACAGAAATACGAGTACATTGAACTAGCCTAAGGTCAACTTGAATGTTTTTTTTTTTAATAAAAGTATCATTGATACACAATCTTATGTTGGTTTCAGATATACAACACAGTGATTAAACAGTTACTCATATTATTAAATCCTCACCCCTTCTAATGTTACTATTTATCAACATAGCAACATGTTACAAAATCATTAACTGTATTCTCTGTGCTGTATTACTACCCCCATTACTACCAACGAACCTATGTTGTCATTGTGAATTATTGTGCCCCCTTTATTCCCTCCCCATCCCCCACCCCCTTGGTAACCACTAGTCCCTTCTTGGTGTCTGAGTCTACTGCTATTTTGTTCTGTTTTACTTTGTTTTTATACTCCACAAATAAGCGAAATCATTTGTATTTGTCTTTCTCTGCCTGACTTACTTCACTGAGCATCATACCCTCTAGATCCATCCATGTTGTTGCAACTTAAATGTTTTTTTTTTAAGAGTGATTTTGACTACATTCGTTGCTAGCTACCTCAACTCCTCACCCCCACTCCCCAAATTTCAGTATCTTCAATGAAGGAAAAGCTTATTTCTCATTCATAGAGTTTGTAATGTAGACGAGGCCACTCTCCTCCATGTCATAGCTATGCCATCTGGCATACAAGGCCACCAGTGTCTCCAGGACTGGGAAGGAGGGAGGTGGCTGAGCAGTGGCTCTTCACTGCCCTAGCCTGGGAGAAGTATGTCATTTCTGCTCACTGCCTGGTGGCCAGGACAGAGGTGAGTCTCACTCCCAGGGTACGTGCGAGCAGTCCAAATGCTGCTAGAACCTACCTGCCACCAGGATGGGATTCTACTATGTTTATTTTATGGTGTTGAGATGATATTGTAGAGATGACAATTTATCTTGCTTTTTTGAACAATTTTATAGTATAAGCATTTTCTGTTAACGTTTTGAGTGGCCTGCCTGTACACAAAAAAGATTAAGAAATAAAATGGGATGCAGTTGAAGCCCCCACTTGCCCTTCTCACTCCAGAAGAACCCACGATCTTGAATTTGGTGTTTCCATATGTATCATTATTTACTTTTACAAATTATGTTTCCATTACCCCTATGTATTTTCCTAAACAGTCTCATGTTTTAATCTCATGACAAAGGTAACATGTCAGGTGTGTTCTTCTGCAGGAATGGTTTTTAAATATTGTTTATCTCCAGTAATGCTACCCTGCCTCACTGGACGAGCTTTGAATGTCATCTCTCTCTTTGTTGTAGGTGCTGTTCAACCAGTTCAAATACTTTTTCAACCTCTATTTCCTGCTACTCGCCTGCTCCCAGTTTGTTCCTGAAATGAGGCTTGGAGCGCTCTATACCTACTGGGTTCCCCTGGTGAGTGTAATCAGCATTGCTTGTTTCGGGACCACCGGGTTTGGGAACAGAAAGTTCTTTGTTTCTCTTACCCAAGCATCTGGAAAGGCCTAGTGACCTTTTAAGGGACAGGATGCCCTCAAGCCAGCACATCGTGGGAGTCTCTGAGATTTTAATGTCGAAGCTCCATTTCATACACAACAGGATAAAACCGTTGTAGAGCTTCTGCTGTTCATTCATTCTGTCATAAGCTGTTCAGTCATTTCTTAAGCAAGTATGTACTGTATCCTTCATGTGTGTCACCCGGTTTCAGACTCTGGGGACACATTGGCAAATGAGAAAGACAAAGCCTGTGTCTTTGTGGATTGTGCTATTTGACCTGTTTTCTGAAATCACATTTTCTGTTTACTGAATGTGGAGTACTTCAGCATGAGGGGTGGATTAAAGTAACAGATTCTGTGCTTTTGTATATCTGAAGTGTAACAACTGCCCAGCATGCCTCTCCGTCCCCTCTCTTGTCTCCCTTTCTTTCCTCTTCCCTTTGGCAGATGGTTACGGGGCATATGCTGTGTGCCAGGCACTGTGCTGGGTGCTGGGGATGCTGTAGTGCATAAAACAGATGAAAAATTCATGCCCATAGGGTTGATTGTCAGGGGGGCTAGACGACAAGCAGATTAATGAAATCATTTCAAATTATGAGAAGTGCTGTGAAGGTAATAGAATAAGGTCTCAGGGTAGATGGGGCATTCCAGGCACATTTAGTATTTGTTGAGTGGGTGAAAGTGGTGGGTGGGAGATGTATAAGGGCAACTGTAGCCAGAGTGGCCATGAAAGGCCTCTAAGAGGAGGTGGTGGGGAGAAGGGCACCAAGGTACCGACTGCAGTGATGCAAAGGTCCTGTGGTAGGCATGTGCTTAAAGCATGTGAAGAACAGACAAGAGCCCAGCATGACTGGGGTGTGGAGCGGGGGGACTGATGTTTCTTTTTTTCTAAACAGAGACATTATGAAATACAATTGCTGCATATTTCTCACTGGCTGGGACTCAGGGAACACTTTGATTCTCTGTTCACAAATATTGTTAAATTTTTAATCTGGAGGAGATTCTTTATATAAACAAGACTTAAGCCCTCCTTAAGGAAACCAAAACACTTGTTTTTTGGTGGCAGGTGGGAGATAAGGATTTGGTGCATGGCACTTTGGAGTAGAGGGAGCCAGTTGCCAAGAGACCCACAAGTGAGTGCCCACATGCCACACATACCGTGTTATGAGACAAGTCATGCCCACGGCTCTAGCCCTGAGGAGAGGGATTTATTTTTTCCACACAAGCAACAAAGGTGCTTTTGGGATATGAGATCAGTTCTTTCCTCTTCCGAGTCATTTGTGGGTGAGGTAGGATGCTGGGAGCTGGCGTGGTCTTGGACAAGCGTCTTTTCCCTCACGCATTCATGTTTGCATGCATGTACTGTTACACACTGAACACTGCAAGCTCAGGGGCCAGGCTGACAGAATCAAGCCTCGAGACAACTGGACAAGCTCCTGTCCCGTCCAAAACCTGAAGGTGCTGCTCGGCCCCAGCACATGCAAACATGAACCTAGGGCTGCCACACCCAAGGGTCAGAAGCTGCAGAGGATTTCATGGGAAACCCTAATTTTTTGGTTTTTCAGCTCTGCATCTGTTTGCTACATACCTATGTAAAGTCCAATCATAAGTTACTTATTTAAAAAAAGCCAGTCTCATATAAAGTATCACTTACCACACTGCCTTTTATTGATTACCTTTTTAAAGTGTAGTTATTTGAAAGTTCATACATTCACATGATTCAAAAACCATAAAAAAGGCCCTAGTAAATGTTCGCCCCCCTGTCTGATTTGCGCCCGAAGCACTGTCGTTCATTTCCTGTCCATCCTTCCAGAGTTTATAAACAAGCACAGGGAATGAAAATTCTTGTCCTTCGCCTGCTCCCCTAAACCCCTTTTTAGGAAAAAGGTACCAGGCAATACGTAGTTCTGAATAATATTTTCTTCCTAGCTTCCAGCATCTCTTTCTGTTGCCTTTTAAACATTGACAACTCCTTTAATAAATGGTAAAGCGCTGTATGAACTGACCGTACCCCTTCTCCTGGTCGGCTGTCTGCCAGCTGTCAATTTGCAGTCTCTGCTCTGCTTATGGATATAGGGGGTCCTTAGTACCTCCCACTGGTGCTTTCCAGGCTCAGGAGCCCCCAACACTCTGGGAATGTGAGATTCCAGAGGCTACCTCTCAAGTCTTGTCTACTGGATTCTCCCCAAAAGCAGATCCTGCCACTTTGTACTGCCTCCAAAGTGGCTGCTGTTCATTTTTCTTTTCCTTTTTCAACTAAGAATGAGCAAGTGACTATTGGAGAAAAATTTGAAGAACCACTGTGAAAATAACAAACAACACCACTTGTGCAACCTCCCCTGCCCCCCAAGACTCCCCAGTTATCTGTTTCTGGGGTATTTCAGTCTCCTTATATATGCCTTATTTCATATACTCCCTAACATGCATTATGTTAAACTATATATATTATGCAAATACACATGTTTTCTAAATCGGACCCAGTGTGTCAAGAAGGCAACTCTGTGTCACTCACTCCTGCTTTTTGCATCTCGAGCATGGTATCTGCAGTCTGATCTGTGCTGTCTCCCCTCATGGTATCCGTGTACCCAGCCTGTAGGATCAACCCTTCATCCCCTACGTTTTGGGGTGCAGGCCTGTAAGCACCCCTACAGCCTTGTTTACATTACATTTGGCATCTGTGGTGGGGAGGGGACGTCAGCCACATTTGGCATGAGATTTCATTCTCTTAATCAGGATTTCATGTAGGTATGACTGGTGGGGGGAATGGAATTATGCAGGAATTTACATGCCTGAGAAATAGCTGGGAAGAATATGAGCTCAGCTCTATTGAATTCTCTCAAAGGCAGTTATGGGAAGTTCCCACGGACTTGAAGGGAAAAGAATTCCCTACTTGATGAGAGAGAGAACAGAGCAAAGGAGAATGAGGAACCTGCTTGCGGTCACACCAGGGGTGCGGTGTGTGCAGGGACCTTTGCCGCAGCATGGTTTTAATTGCTCAAACATTGGAAGCAAACAAATGCCTGTCTCTAGTTCCCTAAATGCTGGCATAATTATACTAAGGAATGTTGCCCAGGAGTTAGAAATGGTGAAGTCACCCTGCCAATGCTGGTGTGGGAAGGTATGAATCATGCTTTTCTGTACATGAAAAGAGCGTGGTGCAGAATAACCTAGACAGGATGCTCCCGTTTTCATGGACCCCTACCCCCCAGCCAGCGAGTATTTCTCCATCCTGTGTATGTAAACATGCAGAGTTCTGCAAGGCTCTTCACCAAGCCAGTGGTGGTCCTTGGACTCGGGAGTTGCCTTTTATTCTCTCATGTGTTCTTGATCGTACCATTCCCCTACTTGTGTCTTCAGTCACCTCAGCACCTTTTTGGAAGTCGAGGAGTTACAGGAAACTGTAGCTCAGATGTGCGGTTGGGGTGCTTGAAACCCCATAGAGCAGAGTTGCTCGCTGCTGCAAGGGGAGGTCAGAATGGTACAGGGGCTGCTGACTGAGCATCAGAGTGTTGAACACGACCCCCCTGTGGGTGCTGTTCCCTTGTTCTTTACTAGCATTCTCTGCATCGACAGCGGGGATGGCAGATGTCCCTCCAGGCACAGTGGGTGCGGCAGGTAGGCTGGAGCCATTGGAGAGGACTGGGGTCACCCAGAAGCTCCCCTGCCCTTCTGAGGAGGGCCTCACCCCAGCTCCTGTCCACGTCTCCTTGGTGAAATGAAGCTTGGTGTTCCCAGGAGTTGCCAGCAGGCCTGACTTGCCCTGTGCGCAGTCTCCATGGCCCTGCCATCTCTGCGGTCTCCCAGCCACTCTCCTGGTCTCCCTGTGGATAGAAGCCAGGCGGGGTAACCGCGGCTGCCTGCAGTCCTCAGGATTCTAACTGCATCTGGGCCCCTTTTTAAGATGTTTGTCTTACAAACCTGCCTCTTTTCCCAGGAGCTACAGAGAAGGGGTTGGGGGACACAGACACATTAGCTTCTGTTTCTAGCTGGTTACCCCTAGATTTCCACATAGAGAATCACTGTCTAGTTGTCGTGTGGAACACATCTCCCATCACCCTGAAAGTCCCCTTGTCTCAGATCCAGCTGTGAGTGCGGTGGTCCAGAGTGAGAGCTGAGAGCCGAGTGGCTGAGGTACCGTTCCTCGCTGCACCTTGAGAAATTGTATAATTTGAACATGCTTTCTGAGCCTCAGTTTCCTCATCTGTAAAATAGGGGCCATCATGCCTACTTCTTGGCTTGTTGGGAGGGAGTAAAGTGCTTCATATGGCTTCTGTGTACAGAATGCTCTCAGGAAGTGCTCTCATTTTAATTGTAAGGTTGTGGTGCTAGTGACATAGTTGTTCATGGTCTGGATTAAGATTTAGCTTATAATAACTTTTTTCTTGTTCTTAACATATTAGAGGGAGAAATTCCTCAGGAGAGAGCTGACGTAATCCATAAAGTTACCTGTATCTGTATGGAGACCGAATAATCTAGATTTCTTTTTTGTTGTTGAGATATAATCTATATACCATAAAATGCACAACTTTCAATTCATTGAGTGTCGACATTAGTCAGCACCCATGTAAACACTGCCCCAATCAAGATACAAAACATTCTCTCTCCCTGGAAAGTTCCCTTGTGGCCCATTCCAGGCACCTTCTCGCCAACCAGAGGTAACTGCTTTTCTGATTTCTCTCTCATAGATTAGTTTTGCTCTAGCAAACCTGTTTTTGATGTGCAACTTTACAGAAGAGCCTTTAGCACCTTCAGAATTGCTTGTCTGTGCACTATCACCACCTACAACTTCTTTACAAGCTCAGATTACCCCAGTCCCCCCTAATAAAGCCTCTTTCTAAATATCTGGATATTCGGGACCTCTGATGTTGGGCATTGGAATTTATTTCTGGACTGGATTTGCATCTCTTTGTAAAGCAATTTCTAGCCTCAAGGGTGTCGGGTCCTCTAGGATTAATGAGAACGGTGTGTTTGCTGGGTGGGGCTAGATACTCAGGAGGCGCTATTTGCAGCAGGGAGGTGAGCGGTGCTGGCTTTGTATGAGCACACACACTTCCCATTAGCATCGATGGGATTTAGCTAGGCCCACGCAGAGAGATACAGAAACTGGAATGTTTGAAAAACCAAACAACTGAAACTTGGGTTCTGGCCCAGAATAACACACCAGCAGCATGGAAGGGTGCTGGGGTTCTGTGGGCTGGATCTGGGGTCTACAGAGGCAGATTTTTCTCTCCCTGCTACATAAGGTCTGCTTTTATTCTGAAATGTAGCCATTTAGCTTTGGCTGCAGTGTGTACTTTACATCTGATTGGAAACAGGAGTAATCCTTTGATTGTAAAGAAGTATAAGCCTTTGGAGGAGTTCCACAAAGCAGCACATCTCTGGCTAGATTTACATAAGAGATTTAAAGTCCTTTGAATCGAAGTTAATATTTTTCATGGGGTAAATAGTATGAAAATGCACTCCTCAGTCACTACACGGGGGTGATTGTGCTATCTGTGTTTGAAAAGTGACTTTAAAGGGAGGGATGACGGGGTATTTTGTAAGAAAAATGAATGAATGTTCTTGCTTCTATTGATACAAGGAAAAAAATTAAGGTGGAAATAGATTCTTGCCACAGGTGGCTCATAGACCAGTCCCCACCAGATTCTATGACTTGGGGTATCTGACTCTGAATAGTTGGAGAGTTTAAAATTTTCTTTTTATTAGTTGGTATTTGTGCAATGAATACTTCAGTTTGTTTTCTTTACAAAATTTAAAACATTACAGGTAAGATAAAAGGCCCCCATCAGTGCCTCCCTTACCCCGCTCCAGTCCCTTCCTTATTGAGGAATCTAACCGGTAGACAAGGAAATTGGAAAATCGTTAGCAGTGCACGGACCGTTGTTGTTTATATGAATGGTGCTGCACTGTATGTTCTGAAAGGCTGATTCTCCTGCGAGGCAGGTTAGTGCAAACCAGCATCTCTCCCCTGTACCTGGCTGCTGGTCGCCCACCGTATTGGCTCCGGCCACCTAAGGGCAGTGCGGCAGTTAAGAGCCTGGACTCTGGAGCCAGATTTCCTGGGTTATCATTTAAGAGCTTTATGTTCTCGGGCAAAACGACTCAGCTCTGTGCCTCCACGTGTTCCTCTGTAACAGGGTGACCTCAGCAATCATAAGGGAGCGAAGCATAGAGTGTCGGCCTCAAGCCGTGAAAGAGCACACTGCACATGGTGTTGAGATACATATCTTACTGGGCACCATCACTCAGCCACTGCCTGCACACAAAGGGTTCTGGCTATATTTTTCATTCTTTGAAACTTTGGTGGTGGTGAGTAGGGATATCTTTCTTTTGTGTGCCGGCCACGTGTTTCTCCGGGGTATGCGTGCAGCAGAGGTTAGAGAAGTGAGCTTCCTGGGGCACGTGCACATGGAATAATTAGCAGGCCCTGCCCTGCTGCCCTCCCGAGTGGCCTCTGGCCTTTGCTATCCCTGCAAAGGCCGGTTTCAGCAGGGCTCACCCTCTCTCCCCTCTCTCCACAGGGCTTTGTGCTGGCCGTCACTATCATCCGAGAGGCGGTAGAGGAGATCCGATGCTATGTGCGGGACAAGGAAGTCAACTCCCAGGTCTACAGCCGGCTCACAGCAAGAGGTCAGCCTCCTGGCTCCACCAGCGCCACCTCCTGCCGCCCCGCCTGGGGCCACAGGGTTGCAACTCAATCATGGGCTGCTGACAGTCAGGGAGCAAAGTTCAAGGCCCCAGGCGGGTGGGTGTGAGGGCACCTCGTGGCCGAACAGTCACTCAGCTCCTGGCACCGTGGAGGCCAGCATGTGCAAGGGACCTGGGGGAACTGGTGCTACTTCCCTGGGCTGTCACAGCCCTCTTAGAGCTGGTTCTGCTGGCTAACTTGTGCATCATCAACCAGGAATTAAACTCTGTGCATTTAGCATCCTCTGCATTTAGCACTAATCCCTCTCTTGGGCTGGCTGAGGAGGGAAGGCACACTCCCTGTGCATGTGGAGGCTGCAAACCCTGTACTCCACAGGTTTCCAAAGGAGACTATTTCAGCATTGCAAAGCTGTAACAGTAGTTTAATAGCATTAGTTTTTAAAAAGGTACCCGATTTACATAAATACTGTATCTGTGAAGATTTCTTTGAAGGCATCTTAAAAACCCTCAAAATTAAAGAGTGGAGAGGGTATATAGGCTGACCCATAAAGATAAATGACTAGATAACCTTTAGTCATTGAACCCCTTGCAAGACTTGTGCAATTGAAATGGTGGAGTTTAGAAAAAACCCACCCAAATACAATCCAGCCAATGTTTACTTCTAGTTAAGCTACAAATTCTACAATAGGTTTCTTTAAAAGGTTGGCTTCAGAAACGAGAGAATGTTACCCAAAATTGCTCAAGATTCCTGACCCTGTTTAGGGATTAATAATATTTTCGGGGAGGCAGAGGGGAATAAAAACCATGCCTTCAGGAAACTGAGAATTCTGAAAGAGACAAATAAGATAGATGCCTAAGAAAACTTGGAGTTTGTACCCAAGCCAGAGTGTGAACTGCTTAATGTTAAGTGTTTTTAGTCTTCGGAAGACTAACGAAGCAGCCATCTGTGGTTTCAGGGTTTTGAATATGCTTTGCCCCACCAACACAAAAATGTGAAATTGTAATAAAATTCCCTGAGGGCATGAAAATATTTTGTTTTAGTGCATTGAAATAGATTTTCATAATCGGTGGTCTTACAAGTTTGCAAGTCTCTGGGAGAAGAGGAGATTTAGAGTTGGCATAGAAATGCTTTATTACTGTTAAACTACTGTATTTAGGGCATTTAGCTGCCTAAGAAAGAAAACGCAGCATAATCTTTGCAAAGGCAGGTGGCTTGGGCTTTCCACGTGGATAATCAGAAGACTCTTCTGGGGGGCGTTGTTTTTTGTAGTTCGTGTATATTAAATCCTCCCTTAATAGCATATTCTGACTATAACATTTAAAATGCTTGGCAACCGACAATAGCCCCGACAATAGGAGAGGGTGCGGTGGATCTATTTAGCTCACGAGGAGGGGCCTTGGGATTCCATTCATTCATCTATCCAGTTGCAGACCCTCTTTGGTTCTTTTCATATTGCAATTGCTTTTCCCGTGAATGATTTTTCTGCCCTCCCCTGCAGACCCTCTTCTCAGCTCCTGCTCTAACTTCCCTCAGTTCTTGAAAAGATCCTGAAGAGAATCGGCAGATGGCTCTGGCCTTAAAAACTTGTCTCCCTTTGTTGTTCTCCTTTTGTCGCCCTTGCTGTCATCGTCATGCCGATTCGACAGTAGGGAAAACTCAGCAGAGTTCTGAATATTAACCCAGACCCTCGCTCTGAAAAAGCACCGAGGAAACTGTCAGCTTGGGAAGTGATGGAAAGGACTTTAGTTATTTGATACACGCTGGGGGAAGGGCCAGAGCAAGGAGCCCAAACTGGAAGATTTCCGAGAGAAGAGGAGAAAGGAAACCCTTTTTGACCTTACTGTTAATGACTTAATAATATTTTCTTAAGTGAGTCTTTTCACCAAGATCTTCACGAAGTAAGTTCAAAAGCAAAATGAAAACAAATATGTATATGTGCATCCAGGCAGGGCTGTTCTCTTTTTTTATCACGTGCCATCTTCAAATGTAATTTTCAGCACTAAAGAGTTAAAAATGTTCAGAGACCAAAATGTCAAGTCCTTGATCACGAGAATATAGGCCATGATATTTACCTACATTCTGTATCATTTCCTGATTACTAATAGCAGTCCTTGTACTAACACAGTAAAATAATTTCTAACTAGCAAGGGTTGCAGAAGTCACATGGAGAACTCCTGGTGCCCTTCACCTAGATTCATCAGTTGGGCACATTTTACCACATTCGGGTTTTGATACTCTCTCTCTAAGCCATCAGAGAACTAAGTTGCTAATCATCCCCTTTTAGCTCTGAATATTTCGGTGTTTAATTCCTAGTAATCTGTCTCTTATACATAACACAGTACAGTTATCAAAATTGGAAAATCTAACATTGATATATTACTGTTAATCTAATCTACAGTTCTTACTCAGAATTTGCCATTTGTTACCTAAATACTCTTCAATAGCATTTTTTTCCTGATCCTGGAACCAATACAGATTTGCCAATTGAGATTTGTTTGTGTTTTCTCTTCAATCTCCTCTAACCTGGCAAAGCTCCTGGGGTTTCTTTGTTAGGACATGGACATTTTTGAAAAGGACAGGCCAGTTTTAGGTCAGTTACTTTATAGCTTGTCCCTCAATTTGTGTTAGATGCCTGTTAGATTCACAACACACATTGTTAGCAGGAAATTAATATAGTTTTAAGATTACCAGTGGCACAGATTCTTGTTGGGAAATTGCCAAACTTTTAGAGGTAGTATGTTAATCAAAGTGAAAAAATTTCAAACTTTGAGAAAAAAGAATGTCATTTTAAACAACTGAAATAAAGCCTGAAAATAGGGAACTCAGCATGTGGAGGAAAAATAATAGTTTTTTTTTAATTGGTGCTGCCAACATTTTAGATCATCTTAATTTCATTCAAAGTATGTTTAAAATGATACACCAATTGGAGTAATTTTTAATCTAGTTGTCACAGTTTAATAAGCATTTGAAGTATTTTAATAATAAAATCAGCCTACTCCAAATGGCAAATTTTGAGTAAGGACTGTAGATTAATGTGGAAATGACCTTTTATTCATTCTTTTAAGAATTTTGAGACTCCATCATGTCCCAAGTCCATGATAGGTTTTGTATTATAGAGATAAGCAGAAGGGGCTGGGGTTTCAGGGAATTCATAGGCCAGTGAGGTATTTAGGCATATAAATAATTTAGAAATGTAGCCAATAATTATATTCTAGTAGTGTGAGTGTGGTGGCCCTTACAAGGGGCGTTCCTTTCCTGACCACTGCATTCCCTGTTCTTAGCACAGTTCCTGGCAGTTGAAAAGGTGGTGGTTTTAAGCTTGTGCTCTGCCCAGATGCCAGCGTCCTGCCTTCCTCCGTGCTGTGTGAACAGATCCCTTAACCTTTCAGTAAATTGGGGATAATAATAGTGCCTATCCTAAAGAGAGTTTCGAATAGAACTCTTGTATGGTGGACTTAGCATGGTGCCTAGGGCTCGGTGTGTGCCGAGGACAGGCAGTGCCGGTCGGACCGTAGCAGGGGTTTGCTGAGTGCTGGTGGATAGGTAATGGAGGAAGGAGGTCATGGAAGCCCTTCAGAGGAGCTGATGATGTCTTCCCCAAAGAAGTAACCTTCATCCGGAGTCTTACCGGATGGAAGAGGGCAGCACTGGCTATATAATTTATGGTGCCTAGTGCAAAGTGAACATGGGGGGCCCTTGTTCAAAAATTATTAAGAATTTCAAGCTGGTAGGAGTAGCGCATTAAGCCAAGTTTGGGACCCTTCTGGGCGCAGGTCCCTGTGCCAAGGTCACATGCCCATGTCGAGACCCTGCTGTGGAGTTCTCCAAAGGCTGTGGTGGCTGGGAGTGTGGGGTACAGACCCCCAGCTAATGGCTCCATCTTGTTCCTCCCAATTAGGTTGTGTTTCCTGAGCGTTTCCCTCCTGGGAAAGGAGAATAAAAGACCAGGTAGGCCAGGGAGGACCTGAGACTCTGGGAGAGTTGACTCTGTGATCTAGGAATCTGTATACAAGGCAGGCTACAGGGAAAAGGTGTCATTGGAACTGTTGAAAAAATACTGTCCAAACTGAAAAACTGGGGGAAGTGAAAATTACCTACGGTAAGCCAGCCAGGTGCCTGACAAGGTCTAATCTTAATTTTTTAAACAGCCCTGTGGAAGTAGATCTTACAGATGGGGACTTGGGCTCTGGCGGAGACAGTACCATGTCTGAACAGTCCTGTGACTCGAACCCTGGCTTTTCTGAATGTAAAACCTGTAAGTCTAGGCACCTATTATGTGCCAGGAGCTGAGCTCAGTACTTCTGTGTAAACTGTCTCAGTGATAATCGTGATGTTCAGCCTTAATACATACGCTGCAGAAGGGCTCTTAGGTTTCAATCATTTTCTCTGAGTCCAAATAAATGTGTCAATCCAGCCTCCTCCTTCTATGCTGGATAAACTGTTGAAAGCTACACGGGAGGATAACGCTTACAGATAAATAAGCATTCCCTCTCCACGTACTTGAAATCCACATTTATAATATGATCAGAGACTTAAGACAGGCACTTGGACCTTCATGAGTTTTATGACTTTTGATTACAGAGCTGTCTTCTCAAATTAATCGCATTCAGGGTACTGGAAATACCAAAGCCAAACAAGAGAGGCTCTTGAAGTAGTTGCAGACCCAGCAAAACTTAGGTTTTTTTTTTTTTTTGCTGGAAAGATCTGGGTTGGGTCAGAAACGAATAATTAGTAAATGAATTATTTTTCTTATACGGGTCTTCCCCAAACCAAAAGTTTAATTCTGGAAGGGGTTCTGCCCCGATCATCACAGGAGGTGAGGGCAATTGGATTTGCATTTTCACAAGATGAATTCCCTGGGTCTTCATACCAGGAATGTTTTCCCAGACTAACTTGTGATCAAGGGCTCAATGAAGCAAGCGGATAATTAGCCTTGAAAGGAAGCACAAACAGAAGCATATTTAACACAATTGCCAATGCT